TTTTGTAACCTTGGCGAGGCCAAGCTGTTGTATTGTCATAAATAAATATATTTGAATCAAAATCAAAATCATTAAGCACCAGCACTGAAAATAATTCATATAGTTTTCATAAGTGCCTAAGATACATTATCCTAAACAAAAATGTACAAGCATTGTAGTAGGACCTAATACTTTGAACTGTCCTTTTTTTCTTGATAAATTTTTAATTAGCAATGACTTTGATTTCATCTATAATAATGTGTTATAAAATTGAATACAATCGAAAACGATCATTCGCAACTATTGCTGAGATCAAATAATATGGAAAATTCATTATAGCAATCGATTTAACCGGTGGAGTCACATAGCACAGTTCTGCCATGATTATGTAGTTTTCGTCTTTACATAATTTTGAAGTTTTTCCAGGTTTTTAATTTAATTTTCATTGTTTTTATAACTTGTGATTTTACCAAAAAATTGCCGTAAATGTACCATTACATTACCCTAAAAAAGTGTAATTACCCTAAAAGTGGCAACACTGTTTCCAAGATTGGGGCTATCTCTTTTATACATAAATTGCCTGGTTACAATAGAAAACTTGAACATCCCAACATTTATTTATTTTGTTAACATTAATAAAAATATACCTGCAACTAGATTTGTCTCAAAAGTTTAACTTTGGAATAATATTGATATCTTGTAATAATATATTTACACTTAACATATTCTGTTGCTCACAAGACTGTAAATATATATAAAAGATGGTAAGAGGCGATTGATTTCGATTGGACATTCCAATCATCATCAGACTCAATAAGCGAATGGCAATTAAACTGTACTCGCTGTACTTAAACCACTGACGGTAAAAAGTGGACTGTCAATTTTAAAGGTAAAGGCCAATTTTTTGGGCTCTAATTCAAAATAAAATATGAAAGTTCAAATTAAAGCAAACCTGCAAAAATATCTCTTCAACCCATTGGGGAAGGAATTAATGCGCTGCCCACAGTGCCCTCTGTCGGTATTTAATTTTACTCTAATTGTTATAGAAAGAAAACCTTAGGTAATAAATTAATAATTCTTTCGCCATTTTGTTCACAGTAAAATTGTCTACAAAAAAAGTGGCAATTGGATAATCAAAGTGTAAAATAAAAAAATAAAACTCAGAAATATTATAAAATTTTTTAAACAATTTTTTAAAAGTAAACTTGATTTACAAATTCCAAGATTAAATGACACTACTGTTATAAAGTTGAATTGATTCCCTGTGTAGAATAATCACAAGTTGTTTACTTTTATAAGTAATAACATAAAAAAAAATGTTTGTTCTACCTTACCGCAGCTGATTTCGGGTGATATCTGGTTTCCATGGCAATACAACCTTGTTTGTTATTCCAAAAATACATGAGTAAATATGCAAAAAAAGAAGCAAGATATTTATAAACATCATAAGAGTAAGAAGAAACAAAAGTGGGGAAAATAATAATAATTAAATAACAAGTGGCGCTGTGTAGCGGTAACACGAGCAGTACTCGTAAGTCGGCTGCCGGGCCTGTAGCGGCCGTACGAATAACGCTCGTAAGTCGGCACCAACGGGTTAAACATTTGCTTTTTGTACTGGGTAAAATTGGGAAAACTTAACCTCAAAAGACCTTTTACAAATAAAAATTTGTTGAATCAGTTTTGTTGAGATAATTTTGGATACACAGCATATAGGCCTGAACATATTGAAAAGCGCTGCACTTAAAAATCTTACTTTAAAAATTAGATTGCGGACAGCGTTTGAATCAAACAAAGAATATTTTTTGAAAAATTACTTAACTGGAAATTCTAATGTTACTTAGTAGCAACTCTCATTCTCTTATCAAATCTACAGTATCCTAAAATAATAAGTTCTTTAACTAAATACGGTAACTAAGCCGCCTAATCACACATATCCATACAGGGTGTTTCAAAAATCTTTTAAATAACCCATCCTTTGGATTATTTAGAAATCAATCGTGGAAATATTTTCCATTGCCAACATTATCTCAAAAATAATATAATGTTTCAAAGTATATTCGTGGTTAATAGTGGTATTGATTTATGTAAATTCATTTTGAGAGTACATATTTATGATTAAATTCTCCATTTTCCAAAAAATGTTATACATTTTAACATCATATATTTACAAAGTTAAAGTTGAAAAGTTGAAGAAAGCTGATTCAATAGTTCTTTTCCTAAAAAAATGTTAAGAGTTGAAGATACATTATTTTGTCAAGCTAAAAGTTTACAAAAAATTGAAACTGCTCCTTATTAAGTGGACCTAAGAGTCACAAACCAATGGACGTTTTAGTTATTTCAATTCATCCAAAATCTCCAACCCAGTAACAACACTCCTAGAGCATTTCTTAAAGGATAACAGGGTTGATATGAAACATACAAGAATAATTGTCAAATTAAAGATGATCTAATTATCACAGTCCATAGTATAAACTATTATTAATATTACTAACAAATCTATTACAAAGGTAGATTTAAGTAGTATTAAAAAACGTTTTTGAAAATATTGGAATTCTAGACAAACAAGAAGTATAGCAGCATTATACTCGCAAAGGGCATAGAACTTGACTTAATATACAAATGTATGATTTTGCATACAAAACCAAGTTTTGAAGGGCATATATAGTAAAATGAAAATATAATGCATAAGTAAAAATAGCTTAAAAAAAAACTTTAAATTATTACTCTCTAATTATTAACTGTAAAAGTTAAGCTGCCATTATAATTAGACTACTGTTTAACTAATCAATCATGATAGAATATTAGGTAAAAGTTATGATGGTGTATTTAGCAGTTCTATAACTGATATAATGATATAATCAATTCCAATGAAAATATGGCTAAATACTCTACTATCAAATGTATACAAAGTTACACTTAAGACAACTAAATTCGTACGGTTCAACAATTAAATTCCTTAGCGAGTACAGCACCTAAACTGGACCTACTTATTCTTGCAAGTTCTGATAGAGGGTTTAGAGATTGCTTTTACTTGTCCAACTCTTTGCCAACCTAACCCCTTTTAATACCCTTTTTTAGTAATACCCTTTTTTTAATGGTTTTAATAATATTGCAACAAACTAGCTGATAAAATCATCTACACAAATAGTGGACTGGCGCAAGACCTGATAAACTCACTGCTATACTCAACTACTAATTAACTTTCTGAAACATTCTTTTGGCCACAAAAGCTTTTAAAATTAAATTTGAGGCTAGATTGAATTTTTAAAGTTAAATGCATAGACTTCTTTGTCCACTGACTGATTTATGTACTGAGATCTAAAAACGTGTTTTTTTTAGAAAGTTTTATGAGTTACATTCATTTTGCTTTTGATCAACCAAATAGTTACGATACAAGTTTTCCATGTAAGCAAATTGACATTCTGAAGCCTTTTAAATGGGATCATGGGATTTTGATTATTATTTTAAACTGGAAACCAGGTTAAAATTGTTGGTACAAGCAAATGCAATTTGAGCCCTGTATCGAAATTTGTCAGAAATAACAAAGATGATCCATTAGCTATCTACGACACACAACTATTTACAAAGCGATGTCAAAAAATATTCATTCACTTTCCCGAGGCCTCTTGTAATCAATATAAAACAAGTTAGTCTCTCAACATTCCATTTACAAACCAACAACAACTTTACAATAAATATCACTTTCCTTAAACTAACTCTGAGCATTTATGCATTAAAATTAATAACTTCAATACATGAAATGTGGACTTCCTCAGCTGTACATTTAGCAAGGCGAAAAGCGTGATAAAAACAGTTTAGGTCTCAAGTAATAGTTTGAATACTAATTAGCTTCTACCTATGGCACATCTGACGTACAAAAATAGTAACGTTCATAGCATTTGTACTAACATAATCTAATCCTTCTCTTAATCACCTACCTACGGTAATCTAGTACAGCTGATGGCTAAAATGTGTAAGTATTCTAATAATTTATCTTTTGATCATTAACTTCTACATCGATAATCCAAATACTTTACTTTGAAAACTTCATAAACAATAGTATACACGGAAAGAGGCACACTCTAAATCGACACCTGATGACCAATCTTGTGTCAAATAAATTCATCAACTTGAGTTATAAGTTTTCTTTCAAAATATGATATTTATTGTTAACAATAAAATTTAAAATAATTTAAGTCAATCACAAGTTAAATGTGATATAATAGTCTGAACAGAAATGACTTGCCAAATGTGGGGATGGCGCAAGTCTATTAATGACGAAATATTTCAATTTCAATGATTAAGATAAACGACAATGTCTTGATATTCATTCATCTTTGATAAAAACCCTTAAATCTATTAACTTGAAAGATTGTCTACTAACTCCACCTTAGAGGAACAACAGGCTAAAACACAATGATAACATCAAGGCCAAAGTACATTCACGTCTTTCTGATATATGTATGAGCTTTTAGAGGATGATTACCAGAAGATGAAAAAAATAGAGAGTTATTGTGAACAACTGATGTTATGAAATAGTTTATGAACACAAGAGGTCTAATAATACTGAACAAATTAACTTAAGACCAATCTTACATTCAAGAACAAAACCTACAGCAGAGTTTTATTGATCTTACATCAACCTAAAGCTGAATTTACCCTTAGATTCTGTTGGCTGATCAATAACCCATTTTACAGTTTGTATAAGTTTATTAATTATAAAATTATTCAGATGTAACTTTAAAATAAGATATTTTAGTACGTCTGTTTAGTTTAAATATAAAATGTATTGTGATTATTGATTAAGCTTTGATTTTAGCTGTTATAATGACTTTGTCAAGATTTTATAAATATTTGAAAGAAGTTAAAGAATATTTCATTACATTGACAACATTTTTTTTTATTCAAAGAAATCCAAAAATTCAGTATGATACTCTATGAATTAAATTGATTCAAATAGTTTACTATTTATAATTTTGTAAAGTAAGACAGTAAACCCATGAATAACTGAGTATTATTTATATTTAAATAACTTCTTGATCAGCATTGTATGTGCTATTAAATTTACGGAAAGTAAATAAAGAGATGTCTTATAAAACTTAAAACATATATATTTACGCTTATACTGTTACTCAGAAGACCGTAAATATACAAAAAAGATGGTAAGTGGTGATCGATTTCGACCATATAAAAATTATTGTTATTATAGGCTACAGTAAATTTGTTATTTCATGAGATATTTATGCCATGATCCCTATTAAACAACTCATTACAGTCAAAATAAATGAAACCTTATCATGTTAGGTTTACACACCCTAGATAAAGAATACCTAATTAGTAACAAATTATTAGAAAGATTTGTGTCACACTTTTGATGCGTTTTCCAGATCTAATGGCTTATTTGAGGACACAAACTCAAAGCTGACAAAAAAATATCACTTGCAAAAAAAACTAGAATATCTAAACAAAACTATAGTGTAAGTTAAAACAACCCAAAACAACCTTTCTTCAATTTAACAGTAAATCACTTTCTTCCCTGTACGCTACAATTCTACATGAGAATATCGAGATAACATTAAAAGAAAATGTTTGAGCATAAAGACCGACTGTGGCATGTGGAGTTTGTGGTTAGTGACATGTTGTGGAGACGGGAAGGCGTTTGGCACGGTAGTGGGAGGTGGGAGTGGTGACCAAGAAGGGGGTAGATGTAGGGGTGGAACAGTTGCTGACATGAGAGAAGGCCGTACGGAGATCATCAGGAGACATACGGTGGTTGGTGAACACCTTGGGGTTGCAAGAATCCGACAGTTTCCGTCTTTGGTAGAAGAAACCGTAGTGGTTGAGGGGCTTCACACCAGCTGCACGAGAGCAGACACCTGTGTTATAAGAAGAAAAAAAATGTTATGATCACCTGATTAAAAGCTGACAAAAATAGTTTAAAGTACAAATAATCAATGAAACTTAGAATTTTAGAAAATACTATCCCATTGTACAAAAACAACAGCCCCTCAAATTATAACTGAGACATTGCCTATCCATACAAGTTATTATCCAGGGGTACTTTATCAATGTATTAATTCTTTACATCACTGAAATGAGTTACTACTGTACTTGGGAAATACCTCCTCTTATTCCATTCTCAATGAGGATCAATTTTCAAGGGTTTTATTTGTTCATACCAAAACATACATAGTGTGGCTATCAGTGATCGTTGCCTTTAACACTGTTTGCTTGTCATACTATTGAAAACTGCTGACACAGCTTAGCAGGCAAATAATATCACACAAGTTGTATAGCCACAAACCGCTTTTACAACCTGACTAGTGGGCCAATCACATGGTCACATTAATGGTTTGGCAAACAATTCTTGTTTATTTTTCTTTTCATTAAAAGAAATTAGCTTTGGTGGAAACTTGTGGCTGATGTGTAAACATTGAATTTTGTACATAAGAAATTGACTGATAGGTAAATCTTAAAACTGAGATCTGACCAGCAAAATTTGACAATCAAGTATATATAGTTAATGGTAGATTTCCATCAACGATAGAACCAAAAATTCACATTCCCATCAGTTTCAACAGAGAACAAGGGTACCTAACAATAAATACCTGATGTATTTTTCTGCATGAATAAAAAGGAGACAGTCATGCAAATTGTCCATCCCTGACTTTTATATTTTCAAAGTCAGATGTATTATGCTAACTTTAACCTTATCCATCTTCATTTTCCCCATCCTACTCTATTCAATCTATACATCGACTTACATATTTTTTTCATGTCAGTTTGTACTCAAATGTGCAGATGGATTTAAATTTGTTTTTGCCAAACTTTTAATGCATTTGGGTAATAGCAGAACCCTACCCAGGTTGTAGGAATACATGTGTGAATTATTTAAATCCCATTCCACCAAATAGTAAAAACTGTAATGAAGGCTGAACTAGAAGCGAACTCATCGCCCGTGAAACGTCACATTATTTGTAGGCCTAATTGGTAATTTTGTAATTGTTTGTATTGGGTATTACAGTGGACCTTAACGACCTCGCATTAACAGATATCTGATTATCCGCCCTTGCTCATAAAATACAACAGTTTGTTTTAACCGACCTAGTTTTGAAAGCAGTTTGGTTTATCCGACGCTTTCTAGGAATCTCGGCATTTCCACTCCCCCGCTTGGCGATGGGAACAATGTGTTAAACTCTACAGGGTGTAACTGTAAATAAACATCCTGTCTTGTATCAAAATGGATGCTTGTTTCTTTCATTTCAACAATAAGTTCTGCACTGTATTACGATAGATTTGGAAAACATCAATTAATATTACTAAAGGTTAAATAAGAATTTTTATTGACTCTTGCCTACAACTATAATTTATTCCACTGAAAGACATAGTAGGACATAATATTTTATTGGTCTTTTAACATTTGTACATGTATTGACAGGTCAAATTTAGAGTATATATTAATTGTTTGTCCTTTTTGAAGCTTAAGTAAGCAAAATTAAGCTTGTAATTAAAAGGTTAAGTACTAAGGATATCAAGAAAGTAAGGAAAGTTTCTTTCTGACGCCACTGGGCGTGCGCCGATCTTCCTAATAGTAAGATTCAAAATTAAAGTCCCATTTCTTCAGGTAGAGTGGACCCGTCCTACCTAATCCTGCTTGTCAAAACAACGCTATTGTTGGGAGCTTGGCGATGCAGGCGGGCCGGGGTTACCGCCCCCCCCCCTTTGCTGTTCCTAGAAATCCCGTGTCCTACTACAATTTGCATAAATTGAACCATAAGACTTGGAGCATCATGACATGATGTGATCATGGTAATAATGCAGGTTTGAAGTAGCCTTAAACTGACGGGAGCTTCTTCTTCAAGATTACCAGCTTCTTTAGATCATGAGAAGTTATCTTCCTTCCCAACATGGGAAGGAAGATATTCTAATGCATTTAATTGGTGTATGAGACTTGATTAGGGTACTAAATTTGGTACAAAAGTCTGAAAAAGATGCTCCAATTTTATCAGGATTGTATAGGAAGGGATACTGCCTGTGCTGTAAGTCATTAAAAATTGCTTCTTTGTTACTATTCATGAAGTCGTATTTGCTAACTTCTCTATTTTTTTTGCAAAGACCAGAACATGTTACTTCGATGTCCAATGCAGGGCAATGAGATTCAGATGGTACCAATGGGTCCAGGACCAAATCAACAGAAACCTTGTTGAGAGAGAAAAACAAAAGGTCAAGTAAAGCACCTTGCTCATAAAAAAACCCCATTACACTGTTGCAACTGGAAGAAATATTAAAAATAGAACGAAAAGATGAATCGTGTGTCGTTTCGGTGCAGCATGACCAATCTCTATTTCGCAGATTGAAATCCCCAACTATAAAAAGTGGTCCAGGTGAGTTGTGGGAAAATAGAATTTCTTCACAAAGAGAGCTAAATTTTGAGTTAAGGTGCGTTGTCCAAGGCGCGTCTGTTGCGTCTGACGCAGAGCGATGATCGCCGAGCGATGATCGCTGAGCGTCGATCGCTTAGAGGCCCGTTGTCCAAGAACGCGTCTATTCAGTTCAACAGTTGGTTGCTGACTGAGTTAAAGTTTATTTTGCTCTCACTATTAGCGTTAAGAGCCAAGTTTTGAAGATCCTATTCATCGAAGAGATAGAAAATAAGGAAACTCTACCTTTAGTGAACCTTGATTGTGTGCACAGTGTTTTCAAAAAGAGAAGTGAGGAAGGATATTTTAAAATACTTATCAAAAACCACTTTAATGCAGCAGACAAGAGGCTGTTGAGGGATTTTTTAACTTTTAAAGGAAACAGTTTAAGTTTCCTTCCAGTTTAAGTTTAAAAGTGAAACATGGACTTAAGACCACCCAATAAATACTGGTGGTGGTCTTAAGTCAATATCTCGAAAAATGTGCATACAAAATGCATGTGGAATAATTTTTAATTATTTTTCCAATGTTAGGAAAAGTCGCCATTTTTTCATGATTTTAGGGGGTTTACAATGGACCGATTTCTGGCAACTTTTAGTATGTCACTCAGCAGACCCAATACTACAAAATAAAACCATAAAACATTTTCTTGCAATTTTTTTAGGTCATATCCTATATTTCTTTGACAATAGCCATTACTTAAGATACTGTATATTATGGAGTATGCGGGAGAACACAGAAACAACAATGCAATAGACGCTGGCCATCAGCGATCCCGTCTGCTCCTGGAGCAGTGCCCCGCGTCAGACGCTCAGCGTTTCAAGCGTCAGACGCTAGAGACACTCCCTTGGACAACGGGCCCATTGAAATCAATGCTTAGCAGTCAATGAGCGTCCATCATTAGCGTCTATTACTCAGCGTCAGACGCAACAGACGCGTTCTTGGACAACGGGCCTTTATCCGTCCTAGGTTTGGCCCCGTTAGGGTCGATTAAGAAAGGGTCTACTGTATAATGTTCTGTGTTACAATGGTTGGGAATTTAGTTCTACAAGAGGTTCATAGATAGCAGCACAGTACAGCTTGAGAGAGTAAATAGAAGGAAATTCAGGAATCTTAATGTATTGAGGCCTCACACTAAATTGGTTCTCTTTGTGATGAGATAACACCATCTGGTGTTTGGCTGGCTTATTAATTTTTGGCTTATTTCATTATTTCATATCTAATAAAGCTACAGGAATCTTCTTATGAGTTAACCATTCCCGGACGGGTGACGGACATATCTGCCTAAGTCTTTGGCGATAAAGGACGGGTGGCGGATATATCCGCTTATGGTTTTTGATGTTCCGGACGGGAAGGGGTTACCTTCTCTTCAGACAGACTGGCAGGTGCTTGAGCAGTAACCAGATGTTTCGCGGTACCAGGGCGCCACTTTCCTGCTCTCTCCATGGCTGCGCTCTCTCCCGCACTCCCCCCTCTCTCCCGCGCCTACCCCTCTTCACCCCCCCTCACCTCCTCTACCGCCTACCATCCACCTCTCCTAAGCACCCCTCTCGACGTTTCGTGCTCAACACTACGTTGTCTTTATTTATTGTTTACATATTGTTCTTTATTTATTGCCTAACGTTGTCATGTTTATATCTTCAAAGACGGATTGCGGATATATCCGCTGCTTTTTTACTCATAATCGGACGGGTAGCGGATATACCCGCATAGTTAAAAACGAGTAAACAATTATTTTGACAGTATGAAGTGTTCCATTGTGTTTATCACGTTCGCTACTGCAATAGTACGAAACTTTTTACTCACATGGACCAGCGAAGCGACGTACATATGCGACGGCCGGTCTCCACCCATTGACTGCCATCGCATATATGCGACGGCTAGTCACATTAAAATAGACTGCTGTCGCATATTTGCGTCAGGGTTCTAATGTTATTCAAATGCTTATATCTTTGTAACGGTCTATTTGAAGGCACTGAATTCCCTGTAGTGGTCTACAGAGATGTCTGACGCACAACTGCGTCGCTTGGTCTGTGGATATGATGATTGGTGAAGTCATATGATAGTTGGAAAAACTGGTCTTTACTTTTCTGCATCACTGTATGTATGTATGCTGCATTATCCTATGTAGCTTTTATATTTGTTCAGTTATAAACTGTTCTTGAATAATCTTAAAAACACAAAAAAATTAACTGTCGCATATATGCGACGTTTGGTCTATTTCAAGAAAACTATGATAATTTTCACTATAGCCTTCGCTGTAGACCGGGCGTCGCAAATATGCGACATTACAAAAGGTTATAAAAAATACAGAAAAACAAGAATAAATTATTTACAAACACGATTGTAGTGCATTACAATGTAAATGATCGCTGTTTTACATGTTGTCGCCCGTGGTCTGTGTGTACTGTTAACCAAGTGACAGCCGGTCTATGTGTAAGATTAAAATGTATACCTCGGTCTGTGGCAGATTAACAGGTGTGAGTCAAGGCCTACGTTGAAAAGTAATGATTTTGTTATGTTTGTCTAGTGTGCTTGGATTATGAATCCTGAGATTTTAACACACAATTTCTCAGTCTTGCTGAGAAGAATTAATTGTGTGACCAAACAACCGAACAACAAATTCATTTCTATATTACTGTACCTGTGATATAGACGTCCTCCAAATGTATGATGGGGGTACTGAGAGCAGCTTTGTAAAGTTTTGAAACAACATCTTGGGACATCACATAACCGGTGCCAGACAAGTAGTTGGGGAAGTAAGGCTCGTTGAAGATGTACTGAGGAGTGTACCTGGAAAAGCAAAACTCTTTCATTCATATAAGCCTCAAAACTTGTATAATGAGGAACATTATGTTCTCTATTATTGATTAGAGAGAAGCGCCTTTAGAGTTCAAGATAGAAACCAGACTATAACAACTATCCTGTTATTGGTTTGTGGGAAAGTAACTATTTTACAATTTAAGGAGGTAACATAGACGACGAGGTTCTAGGTTTACCTGAATGGGGAAGAATCCCCTTTGGCACAACAAACACAAAAACTTTACACTATACACAGAAAAGACAATATTTTACTGTCATAATTTGTAGGTATTCCTTGTTTGAAGATTCTTTCAGTAACAGTGAAATATTCTAATTTTGTATATAGTGTAAAGAGTTTTGTGTTTCTTGTGCCAGAGTGTTATCTTTCCCATTCAGGTAACCCTGATATCATAACAAAAATTCTTAAAACGTAGAAATTAGTTCTGTTTGTTCCATCCACATAAGCCTTATATCCTGATTTTAAAATTCATTTCAATCCAGATTAAGTTTCAAAAATATAGTATTTATTTACCAATACTAACATGATCATACCATTGTATTTTATACTTACTGATTGCAATTAAATTACTGTAAAAGGGGTACATTTTTGTGGGGCAGACTTAAGTAAACATCAGATCCATCATTTGCCATATTAGGCCAGTCAATCTAGAGTCAAAATAAGCATAACATCAAACTTAAGGTAATAAGAATAAAATATATGGGATTTTGTCAACAAAGGTGTCCATAATATCATACTAAAAATCGAGAAAAATCAAAGTGGTGAAAAGCCACCATGTTGCAAAAAACTACCGCCATATTGGATTTATGTAAGCTTTGAGTAAAACATCAATAGTTTGACAACTAAGCGTCTTAAAAATCTGCGGTTTGTCTTAATAGCTTCCTCTTTAAGTCTACTATAAGATAATAACAGCTTTTATACCATTGAAATATTGTTTTGTTTAAATGAGACAGTTTAAAATTGAAACAATACCGAATTTCAAAGATATCTTTAGTAAAACCTTTAAATTTTCTCAAATACAAACTCAGGTGATAAGAACATACATATTTTATGGCTCTTAAAAGAATCTGCATTAAATTTTGAACAATAATAATCATCACATCAGTTTGTATCTTGCTTTGAAGATGGGATAAATTTGTTATTAGTCTTCAACTTGGAACGCTAGCAGCTACGCGCGCTGAACAGCGACATCTAGTACGGGTAAAATACACTTTGAGGTGGGAAAAATTGCTTTAAGAAAATTTAAGCCATATTTTGAAATCATACATACAGAACAATATGTAAACAAAAATCCGACTAAATCCGAGCATGGGAACGCTGAAAAATAGGGGTTTTCAAACATACCAAAATTCAATTTTTCATAATAGACAACAGTAGTAGTCAGAGAAATATAGGATATGACCTTAAACAGTTTTTAATGAAACGTTGTATGGTTTTATTTTTAGTGTTGGGTGTGCAGAGTGACATACTAAAAGTTGTTAAAAATTAATATACGGGGAAACCCCTAAAATCACTATTCAAAATGGCGGTTTTTCCCAACATTAGACAAACCACATGCATTTTTATGAACATATTTTAAGGTCATATCCTATATTTCTCTGACTACTACTGTAATTGTCTATTATGAAAAATTGAATTTTGGTATGTTTGAAAACCCCTACTATTTCAGGGTTCCCATGCTCGGATTTTGCGGGTTTTTTTTCGGCATTGAAAATTGATCCAAAGATAAAAATTAAGGTCTTTGATAAAAATATAAAAACATTAATCTATTGCATTTTTCTACACCCTGTACACAAGAAGGTAGAAAATATGTTGTAAACTGCGCCATTTAAAACCATATTATTTTAAGGTTTCCAACCATATGCTACACTATTGAGCTTTAGGCCTGCTTATTGACGCTTTAGTGGTTTGAAGACTCCAAAACAAGGAGTTTTTTACATTTTCAACATAGATAGTCGGCATGTATTAAGCAAAACAGTAAAATCAGTAAAAAAGTTCCCTGTTTTCTAGTATTCAAACCACGAAAAACAAACAAAAGCATATGTAAATCTTAATGGTTTAGATAAATAGATAAATTCATTAATAGAGTAAAGCAAATTTGACATGAATCTATGAATCTCTACGATCAGTATATTTTTCATGTAGTTCAGAAATTGAAATTATAATTGAATATGTTTTTTGTCACACATATTATCACATATCAATAAATTGACAATACGGTAATATTATAGCACGTACCAGAAAAAAAATATAAGATTATGTAATAAAACAAATTTGGAAAAATGATGTGAAAAAAATAAAGATGAAATAGCACTAAACTAAGTTCATAGGTAGTTTTTGTTTTAGTTACAAAAAATGTACAGAAAATTTATAACGTTTTAATTTGCAAATAATATATACCGTACTGTAACTTGAATAATGTGGAATCTTTGGATTGTTCAATCGCATATCCATTAGTGATCTATTGAACAAAATAATTGTAATTTTCAGATATATAACAGGTATAATAAAAGAGGGTTTGAACAATGTGAATGATAAAATGAAGTATCCACATAAAATTACATAAACACCAATCTCCATATTTTTACACTATTTAAATTTGATCTGTCAATAACAACATAATATCTGAGAATATATAGTTTTTTTAGAAACCAAGGATCATCTGTCAAAAGCCTTTTATATATTTATTATTGGCAGGATCAAATTCTCTTTAGCAACAAATGGTGAAAAAAGAGAAACTTTTAGAACATCATTTACATGAACATCCTCTTGTTTCATTTGAGTGTTGAGGTTCGCTAAGCTGAGCAACAGTGTAATGAATATTTAAGTAATTAATGCATATTCTTAATCCTGCTAATCGGTAGAGCCCATGTAGAAAAGACACTTATTTACATTTAAAGGAAAACAAAATAAATACAGATTTATTGTTAAGTAAACATTAACATTTTGCTCCTAACATGAACATTATACATTCCAGTTGTGACTAGGGGAGGGAACAGCTTTGTGTTCATTAAAAAAAACCTTATGTTTGCAGGCCAAGGGTTTCAAGAATATTCTGCAAACATGGCTTTCATTACTAAGATTGGTTACTTTATTGAGTATATTTTCACATAGAAGAGACCATATTCAAGTTTCTCTCTCTCTCACAATAAGTTTATTCATGCACACAGCATATCACTTTCCACAGAAACCAAAATAGCAGATATTTTTAAACACATTCCAAAGACAACATAAATGTAAGTATGATTCAGTTATAATCAAATCACTTTGGTTAATCTCATTTTTTAGGATCTACAAGCTTTGCCTATGAATTACAAGCACAGGTTTATATTTAAAATTGTTTTATTGTGTTTTAATTCAATCATAAACTGATATTATAATTAGAACTTCAAAATGAAAGCACCTATTATATTTTGTTTGTCTTTTAGTCCTGCTCTAAAGCACTTGTAAAGTTGTACTAGGTATGGTCAAGGCATCTAAAGCCAAAAGTACCCATGAACTTTTGAGGAAACTACAAGTCACACCCCCATAAACCATATACTTAAAATGTTCGTCATGACGAGAAACCTTGCACAAAATTATCCATTATTTCATAAGTTGCCCTATAAGGTCGTAATTGATTTCCAAAGGGAACTTTCCATTTACCTAATGTTAAATATACCTCAGCTGTTATTATTTGTTTGTATTCTGCTTTGTTTATTTCATCTTAACTTAACCAATCAAAAGTTTTATTAATACTAATGTAGTAAAATGTGGTGGAGCCCGTGGGCAACAGCTAGTTCCTCATAAATGTCTTTCTCTCTTTAAGGAGCAAAATTGAATATCCTACAAAAAGACTTTGCATAGCTTCTTTACAAGGCACATTGAATCATAAACAAGGATGAACAACTTAATTGATTTAATGACTAATTTGTGGCACTACTATGTTCACAGATATTTTACTTTTTTAATAAAGTGACATAGGGTATACAACACCATCTAGTTTAGAATATGACAAATCTCTAACTGTGTTGTCTGCAACTGTCTGACTGTCTCTAACTGTTTGCAAATAGGTTGGCCTTGTCTTTGACGTTAATAGTGTGGAATAGTTTGAAAATCAGGTCTGTTAGCCACTTGCTTGGCCAATCAGCTTACCATGCTAGCTTCTTCCCCCACCTTGGAACTAACAAGTTACCACCACTCAGTAAAAATCAACCAAAAACCAATTATATTTTGTGTACAAAATGTTTGGTCAGTAGGCCTACCAAACCACAGAAAAACCTGAATTGAACAATTCAATTTGTACAATCGAACAAACAATTTGATTTGTACAATTGTTGTGTTCAATTTGTTGAATTGGCTTTTGCAGAATTCAAAGTGTGTTTAAGATGTGCAGTACCAGTGGTAAACTAGTGGCAAAGACAACAGTTAGCCATCTGGCCATCTGATCCCTTGAACAAAGGGTTAAACTAAATAATAAATAACAAATTCCTACCACTACAATATGTTTCATGAAGTAAGTTTTGTAATTAATTATTACCATTTATTGGTGGAGTCCTGAATAGGCTTGGCTTTACAAATTAAGGAACCGATGAGGATGTTTTTTCTCTTGGCAACAGGTTGTAGGGCCTCCGACAGAGCTGGGAGGTTGAGGTATATGTCATCATCTGACTTCATCAGGAACCGAGCTGATGAGCAATGCTGCTGCACCCACTTCAGCATCATCACTGACTTGATGGTCAAGTTGTTGTACGAATCCACAAACCCTTCTTGGATGATATCATCGTAAATCCCACTTTCTTCAACAACCTTAGCCTGCATCACAAAAGTTAATACAATCTCACTCAATAATGAATGATCCCTTGCTATTTTGTCTACAGAAAAAGGAACATACTATAAAATAGAGGTCATAGTCATAGTATCTTTATTCAAGATTACAAATTTGTTGCACCAGAATGGTGTTATACAATTAAATTATATTGTTAATACTAACCATATTTAAAAAGGCTAAATAAAAAAACAAAAACTTATAACTTACAAAACGGTCAACCAACAAATTCATCTAGGGAATAAACGGGCTTGGATAACATAAACGTTTTTAGTTGTTTTTAAAATCTATTTTTGTCTGTTATTTGTAAAATATTATCAGGTATAAGGTTATAAAACGTAATCAAGGGATATGATGGGTTTTTTCAAAGAATTTTAAGTTGTGATTTGAAAAACTGATTTTATGTCTGTGCCCTGTCCCATGACCTTGGCATGAACCCAAGGTCTCGAATTTTGGTAAGTTATTCTTTACAAACAAGATCAAATCAAAGATATATTGGGAAAAAACAGTAAGAATACCAAGTTTTGAAAATTGTTCTTTAACTGAAGTCCTCCAATCTTGAATGTTTAACATGATGTGAAGTGCTTCTTCAGATATAATGATAATATTTGTTCCAAATTTTCTTGCGAGGTTGCCCCATATAAAATTATGCCAAAGGAGATGTGGGAGTGAATAAAAGCAAAGTTAATTATTTTTAATGTTTCCAAAGGACATAATTTAGACATTTTTCTCAGAGCAAAATTCTGTGTTGAGCTTGTTTATTACTCTGATATGTTGAGAAAGATATGCACTTTGTCTTATTTATATTAACTAAAAGGTTTAAATTGCTTAATAAAAAGTAATAACATATGGAAATTGGTTATGGTTATTTGCTATTGACTCTACTTTTTGATAGGTATTACCAGATACAAGTAAGCTAATGTCATCAGCACATAGACTGACTTCAGCATTATCTAATTTATCTGGTAAACCCTTTGTATAACATATGAACAACAGTGGTCCCAGGATTGATCCTTGTGGCACTCCATATTTTCAAATTTCTAAAGATGAAGTAAAATTTACTTTATAGTTGTTTGTGACATTAGTTATTTCTACATATTGTTGTCTGTTATTTAAATACGATTTAGATTTAATCCAATCTAAAGCTCTCCCCTTGATACCCAGACAAAACAAGATATTTACCAGCTTAGAGTGTGACACACTATCAAAAGCCTTGCTTAGGTCCATGAAGACCCCTGTAACAGGTGTGCGGATATCCGAAAAATCAGGTCGGATTCTGTTTGGTTCGGATATCCGTAACGAAACAGAGCGTGAAACATAAAACGTGATGCCAAATTTTCTGACTTAAGTCTGTAAACATGGTTTAACAATCCACATTCGGTCAAACTTTTACCGGTTTTCCAAAATTGCAGAATAGTATATCAAAATTTCAGTTGTAGATTCCTAAATGATTTCTACTTTTTTAATGTCATCAACTGCCTAGTCACAGTTTTAAAACTTGTACAGTACCAGGGGCGGTTCCAGGGCTGAGTTTCGGGGGGGGCCATCATTATATGGAGGGTCACCGGGGGGTCTGAGGGGTATGGAATACCCCCTTGGCAGACAGGGGGGTCCGGGGGTTCTCCTCGGGAAATTTTTGAAAATTATGTGCTGAAATTAGCGTTTTTAAAGCTATTTTTAGACCCTAGCTTTAAGATTTAAAAAAATGTAACATTTGAGGTAGTTGCCTTATTAAGAATAATTGTGGAATTTCATGAACATTTCATGAATTTCGATGAGTCATCGATGTGTACTACGCGCTGGCCTAAAAACATTACCCGTTTAACTGCGAGCTGGCGAAACCACGCACCTGTGGCGAATGTGTGTGGCCCAGGCTAGTACAACTTGAGGACGACGATGACTATCGCGCTCTCACTCCCATACTATTTTCCGCGTAAACGCCAGCTCCACCTTACCTACCTATTCATGTCCTAATGAATACATCTGTATTTGATAGCCTACTCACATTAAAAACTTTAAAAATAAATTATTATTGTTGGAGTTTAAGTTTGTTTATCTACATTCTCTCTGGAACCGCCCTTGTACAGTACGTCATAAAACTTCAAGGTAGGCTGATTGATGCACATCATGAGAACTTTGAATTATTGAGGCCTGTGAACGAGAAACTTTGAGTAGAAACTTTGAAAAGGTTAAATATTACAGATCACAAAAAGGTCAAATCGTCAAAATGAACTTATCAAGGTTAAATAGAAGAAAGGGAATAGGCACCATGAGAGCACTCTCAGACTTGGTTGAGGAGGTTTTGTGGCCCTTGGATGGGTACATAGCACAATGGGTGTGTTTTGTGACTTATCCAAAGCGTTTGACTGTGTCAATCATGATATACTCATTAAAAAACTAGAATTATATCCTTTTTCTGTATATTCAGTATCATGTTTAAAATCTTACCCAAATAATCGCCATTAGAAAACAGTCATTTGTAAGGATAATTCAAAAGCAAAATAAAAAAATTTAAAAGTGTGTGCCTCAAGGTTTGAATTTGGGGCCACTTCTATTTTTATATATATTAATGATCGTCCAAAAACTGTTTCCAATAATCTAATTCTCTATGCAGATGATACTACTGCAGTAGTTAAAACAAACAACAATGATGAATTGAAACATAAAATTGAAGAAAGCCTAACCGAATTGGGGAAGAGGTTTGAGATCAATAGTTTGGAAATGAATGAAGAGAAAACCAAATTTGTAAGATTTTGTACGCCTCAATCAGTTGCAATCATTGATCAATCTCAACAAACTGATGATTCTAAGTTTTAGGGCTGTATATTGATAAACATTTGACCTGGAGTAAGTGCATTGAGTCAGTAACTGGTTCAGCCTGTTTTCAAATATTGTGCTTCAGAAATTCCATGGATTTAAAAACTTCTATCATGCTATATTATGCATATTTTTACTAAACAGCGCAATATGGAATTAAATTTTGGGGATTTTCCTCTAAAATTGAAAAGAGTTTTTAAAATAAAAATAAAAAATTATAAGAATTATGACCTTTTCACCATGGAAATCTTCATGCAAAACAGTTCGGTTCTCATCGCCCAGCGTGGGAGCGGAAATGCTGAGGTTCGTAGAAAGTAGAAAGCGGCGGTTAAACCGAACTGCTCTCAAAGCAAGGTCGGTTAAAACAAACTGCAATATTTTACGATCGAAGGCGGATAATCTGATTATCGGTTAATACGAGGTCGGTTAAGAGGGGGTCTACTGTATTGAGAATCGGAATCGGCCCTTCCCTAATTTTGTCAAAATGAAGTATAATCTTGTCGGTTTGATTTAATTTGATGATTTGAATTTATTATGAATAAATATATCGTGTGAATGTGTAATAGGCCTATACTTAATTGTGTATGAGTCTAGGACTAAGTTCCTTTGCACATAGTTTGAACTATGTCTAACATATAGACCCAGATTAAGGGTATTGTGGATGTAAATGGGCAAATCTTGGGGTTTGTTTCGTCATGGCACGTTTTTACCCCCCCCCCCTCCCTTAAAATTTGGTACCTTACAGTTTGATTGAAATATCTGGCTCCCAAAACTCGAGCAAAACAGTACAAAAATGCATTATTCATGTTAGTTTACTATCCAGTAGGGACATATTACCTGCAAGGTGGAGTTATCAGACTCGCCAAGCAGAAAGGCAACTCTGGCAGAATCTTCAGCAAGTGATGCCCACGTGTCTCGGATGGCACTGCGTTGTTCAAAGTTGGCAGGGGCAGAGCAAACTATAACTAGTAGGAACAGATCTGAGGGACACAAGTTGTTTACGTTGATGGCGGTGGTCACATTCTCCGGTAACACGTATTGGCGGGTATTTCTGCTGATGTTTGCCTCCCATCCTTGTACCATCACTGCAACACAAGAGCAAAATTAACATTAGCTCTAGAAATTTCAACAGCTAGAATAATCAGAAATTCAGAAATTTCACTGTTGGTTTTTTTTAAGTTGTATATATTTTAATATTCAAAATAAATGTATTTCATACTTACTTTCCTCCATCTTGAGGAGATAAGCTGAGAGGTTTTTAAAGTTTGTCCATAACTTTCTTATTTATTTGGTTAAGATTTACAGCTTCAGAACAAAATCTTTTGACTTGGTTAAGGAAAGTCACGAGCTGTTTGCAAGGAGTCTCACTCTTTCAGGAGTCTCACACTACAGGACCTACCTGTGTGCGTAAAAGCATTTTCCTTCCTCTCCATAAAAAAAAAATATATATAGCCTATATTCAAAGATGGGGTTCAAAGAATTTTGAAAAATTGAGAATACATGAACCTTTACAGAGGACCAGATACGGCTACATAGAAAGTAGGAGAATTAGGTCGCTTGGTCATATGAGAATAAGAGAGAAGGATACGAAGACTGTAGAGAGGTCGACCATTAGGAAGACTGAGATTAAGATGGAGCGACAAAATGGCTGTAAAACAGCTACGAGTCTTGAGGCAATTGATTGAAAGGCTTTAATGAATTTGGATCTTGAGTGGCCACAGCGTAGTGAGTGGAGGAATCCAAATGAGGAAGCATAGTTTTTCCCTTAATCATTATTGGCTGTTACAATACAAAGCATCGCATGGAGGTGGGAACCGGCTCAGATAATGTTGAGGGGAAGTAAAAAAAGACTGTGCTGGTTACAGTTTTGAATGTACTAATTGTGGTGATAGGAGCTCATTTGAGGTGTTAATTGTATAAAGATGACTACCTACTGGTACTAGCTGGTACAAATAATGTTGACAGTACTGGAGAAATGCAACTTATGGATGATGTAAATAGACTAATCCAAAACCCTACCCATGCCAATTTGATTCTCGCAACACTGCCTATGAGACATGACCAGCCGCAGTTAGATTTGGAAATTTCACATATTAACTCTGAAATAGAAACATAGCCAAGGAAAACCAAATAAAAATTCTTCCCAACCACTTACTTCCCCAACATTTATACACTACTCATGGGATGCACTTCAATAGGAAAAGTAAAGCTAAAGTTGCAGGCATGGTTGTAAAATTGCTAATCAGGAAGAAACAAAATGAACACACGAAGCAGTCTTTTAACTTTAAACCAGTGGTTGTAGATCAAGGTATCAAGTTGGTTGAAGAACACATGAGCCAAGTCATAGACCGCTACAAACAGCACTCTTCTGTAGGTTTTGCTCACACTATATCTAGCGACCTTGACCATGCCAGAAATATAACAGCTGTTGTTGCTGTAGTTTTCAAAAACAAGTTTGGTAGACCACGTCCCTGTGATTTTATTGCAGACAAACTCACCTGTCAGAATTTAAATCAAGGTGCTTTCATTTACAGCCTGGATACCAAACCGATGTATGGTGGGAAACCAAAAATAGACAACTACAATGATGCCTTTTCTCAACTCACAAGGGATTTTAAAGTGAAAGGGCTAAAAACATTTATCTGCTCCCCCATGGGTTGTGTGAGGGATCTTATTGCGCCCGAACATTTTGTCAAAAAATTATGGATTTTCGTCAGGAAACAAGGGCTGCAGTATGCATCCTGAGCTACAACCAAAGATCACAAAGAGAGTTGAGACGGGCCAAGTTGAAACAAGTTGAAGCCAGTTGAAACTGGAAATTTTGATCAAAGATTACAATGAAAAGAACTCAGCTAGTGAAACAGTTGAAAACACCACCACTCCACAACACCTACACTTCTTGTGGTCTAACGAGGTTTATGTCGACACCCCTACACCATTACCTGGAATTGAATTAAACACCCCTACACCACTACCTTGAATTGAGTTCAACACCCCTACCCCACTACCTGAGGTTGAGGTCAACACCCCTACACTTACCTGAGGTTGAGGTCAACACCCCTACGCCACTACCTGACGTTGAGGTGAACACCCCTACACTTCTACCTGAGATTGAGGTCAACACCACTAAGCCACTACCTGAGGTTGAGGTCAACACCCCTACGCCACTACTTGAGGTTGAGGTGAACACCCCTACACTTCTCACTTCTACCTGAGATTGAGGTCAACACCACTAAGCCACTACCTGAGGTTGAGGTCAACATCCCTACGCCACTACTTGAGGTTGAGGTCAACAACACTAAGCCACTACCTGAGGTTGAGGTCAACACCCCTACGCCACTACTTGAAGTTGAGGACAACACCTTGAAGGTGTGTCGACACCTTCACTAATGCAGCTCCAATTTATAATGTCAATGATAATCTAGTTCTCTTAAATAACAAATTGATAAACTAGCTTATACAAATCATTTAAATGTAGACAATTTTTCTTCATTTTGCAACTAATTTCAAAGTTAAAAAAAAAACAATTTAGACCTAAATAGATTATGGCCTGTATGTAAGAAAATCAAAGTAGATAAGAAATATAACTGAATATTGCGTTTAAATATTCAATGTGGTCTCTTTGATAAAAAAATAGATTTACAGCTAATTTTAGATAGCTCAGAGATTCTTATGATTTGACTAAATAAACAATGGTTAAGTAAAGGAAATATTAATATTTTAAATAGGCCTAGCTTTGAAAATTAAAATTTGGCACATTTTTATTGCGGAGAAAACTGTGGTTATGGTGGTTCATGTTTAATTTTAAATAGTAAATTAGAATATAAAATTAGGAAAGACTTATGTATTTTCAATTCAGATTCTGTTTTCAAAATATCATGTGTAGAGATTATCTATTTGAAAATAATTGTTATCTCCATTTACAGAGTACCTAAATTTAGTATCAGTTTTTTTAGTTTGCTTGAACTAATAGAGATTTGGCAAAATGAAAATAAAATTTGACGTTTTATTGTAAAAAAGACAACATATAAAAAATTTAGACTTACCGGACCATTTGTAAGTCAACGTACCTCTATTCACTGGACTAACAGGAAAGATATGAGTTTCTTTCTTTGATAGAGACATACGGTTTTATTACAAACTTTACTTCTCCCACAAGGATAACAAACAATAAAGCTTCTTGTATTGATAATATACTTTCACTTAAGTTAAAATCATTTTTAGAAACTCCATCAACGAACCTAGAACTAGGTATATCTGATCATAAGGCAATCCTTATGGATATTTCTAGAAATATTTCATCTCAGCACAAAACTGCTATACCTATGTTTTAAATGACAACTATGACCACAGATATAACACAAGATTTAAAAATAATTTTCAGTTACCAATCCATCATCTGTGTCTCATTGAAAAGACACCAACATACATGGGAAAAAGGTTGTACAATAAGTTACCAGTAGGTTTAAAAAATATAGCCAATACAATTACATTTAAAAAGAATATTTATGGTAGACAAAAAACTACTACCATATTAATGAATATTTATTGGAAAATACTTTTAAAATCAAAGTCAGCCTTTTATTTTAAACTTTAGAATTTAACCCTGTAGATGTCGCATTAAACACCTGTAAATGTCACTCAATTTTCGAGACTTTTGCGGAGTTTGATTAAAAAATTAATAAAAAATCTAAATGATGACATATAGATATAAAACATTTTATATTTTCTTAAAGCAAATACAATTGTCTATCTAAGAATTTAGTATGATATTTGTGTCTTACTTTGTATAAAAGCAATTTGTTGTTGGTTCAAATCCAGATAATCCAAAAAAGGTTTTTAATTTTTTACATAACCGCACATGTAAAAAAAATTACTATATTTACAAAAACTGAGATATACATTTTAATTCTAAATGTAATAAGGAAAAGAATGTATGTAGTTTAACCCTGTGTTTCTTTATAATAACAATAACTCTAAAAATCACGACACACAACAACAGTACAACGTAAACATTCGTTCCCTAGCAACCGAAACAAACAATGACATATGGAAAAACTATCACAGAACAAGATAAATAGTTCGGGAAACGGCCGTCTTTTATACTCACCATGAAGCCCAGAATCTCCTGAACACGTTAGTATGCCCAATGACCGGATTTGTTCGATCTTGTGGGATTATACCAACTGAAACCGTAGGCCTGTCAAGTCGCCGTAATTACGGTGATTGACACTTGTGGCGAAAAAATAGTCACCGTAATTACGTCGATTGACACCTAGAGGGTTAAGATCGACCAACTATGTATTTATTATAATTTGACAATGTCACCTGTTTTTATAGCCATGCTATATACAAACATTCTAGTGACAATAAAGTTTGATTTGACACTCGTATGGCTCACCTTCTCTCTGTGTAGATGGCTGGTACACTGGTGAGTAGAGTGCAAGGAGACAAAATATACTGCACAGTAAGATGACCCCGCAGCGGAAACATCTTTTTTCAGCTCTCCTGAGCATCTGTAAAATACATTTTAAATTATTATACTTGCAAAAATTCATAATGGTTATTAATTTCATGATTTCTCTAGTCAAGTAGTGGGTATGTGGCTGTCTCAAGTCTACACCATCAGCTCAAGATATCGTTATGAATATTGCCTTACTCTGAATTGATATCTCCAAGAAATATAAATATAATACTATTAATATCGAATATTATTAGTAGAACTTTATATCCTTTTGCACGGTCACTTAAGTCTGTAACAGTTTAATTTCCAAAATACATGGTTGATGAAGCGGCTAGTGATCGATATCACTACATTTTATATTATCACTGTACCATGTAGTTGTCAGCTTGGTTGCCATGTTCCATCACACCTGCTTTCCTTAACCAAACTAAGATGATATAGGTAGTCTAACAACAATGTAGGCTTTCACAGTCAAATTAGATTGTTGAATCTTTGTCATTGGGAGATAACCACATCATTGAAATAGTAAAAGACTGTGGGCCCAAAATGTGAATGCATTGCCTGTAGTTGAGTTGTAGCTTGTCCCATAGATGGATTGCTATAGCAGATTAAATCTCCCAATGGCAAAGATATGATTCAAATTGAATTGTAGTTTGCCCCAACGATAGATTTCTGCTGCAACACATCTGAATCGTCTGACACTATCTTTGCCAATTCAACACTGTATAGTAAGTTCAGTTCGTAAAGTAGTTCTTGTATAGTAGTTAAATACAGCATGATAATAGTATTAATTAATCCACAAATTGTTATGCATGTAATTGATTGTACAAATGGCGATCTGCCGTATATAAATAAATAAAAAAATAAAAAACTGTAGATATCTTTTAAAGACTGAGATTTGACACTCGACTTTTACCTATTATCAACACTGTTTTAGAGTTTATCCTAAAACTGGTGTCAGAAATATATTTCTGGAAGTCTATCTTTAGCTTAGCTTGAGTAATCTTGAAGTCACAATATTTAGGTCAACAGTATTTCAAACTTGTAAATTATTTAGACCAATCTCAAGGCCAAGCAAAACTTAGTGTTGGTTCATCTTGAGTATTAATTCAAATGATATAATTTGCACTCCAACAACTAGCACCCCCTCTCTGCCTTAAAGCTCCATCTACTACTTGACTTATGATCCACTGAATGCCAGAAAATTAAAATTTTTGAATACAATGATGTGTTTTGCATTATTCATTCACATTTGACTTGAAGATTGAATAGTAGACAAACTAAAAATGGATGCAGTGAAAACTACTAGAAAGATTTTAAATTGTCCAACATTTATGCCAGGCCTACAGTGGCAAATTTTGAATTTTTTAATCATGTCACAGTTAAGTGTAGGCCTAGTAAAATATTTCTTTATTGTTACAAGACAGACTGTTGTCAGCTGACAAAAACATTAATTTGTTGACTTGGCATATCACACACTTCTCATTAAAACAAATAAAATTAGTTAACTAATTTAATTACACCTAACCTCACTTATTACGTTAACACTCTTAAAAAAAACATTACATAAGCATACAAATATCTTGTGGTTCATGTGATTTCCTACTTCCTAGGTAAACAATCAAAACATATACAATAAGTTTTAAAAAAAATGGAATTCTTTACAAAGCTCTGTTGCCTTGCAAAGACGTCCGAGGCTAACCTGAAATATCAGGGACTTTTCTCAGGGCTCAAAGATAATTGGATCTGTAACCCTGAGTTAAAATCCTGACTATACAAAGTTGCGCATGGAATACATAACTATCAAGTGTACATCAATGGTAAATGTGATGAGTTATGCTTACCTTTAAAAAAACTATATCAGAGCAAGTTTATCAAAAGTTGTTCACATTCTAGGCCTACAGGTTTTGAAACACTCTACTGACACAATCAAATTCAAGATAACAATTCCTATCTTGTTTTCTGTACTTATAACGGTTTTAGCTATTGGCCTGTATTGTTTGTAGGTATAGATAAAATTTCTGTTGCCTTATTCCTTTGGATGGAGCATGGATCAATAATTTTTTTTTATCACAATAGTCTAGTCAGCAGGTAGTTTTAGATGGAAAAAGGTCGGAAGTTAATGAAACTTGGGGATGTTGTTCAGGGATAATAAATCAACATTTCCCCAAGTTTTGGACCTCGAGGACCCTGAGGAAAAAAAGAGGATGGGAGAAAAACTTTTTTATCTACCAAAATATGAAAAAAATCAGAATTCCCACTTATTTTTTATATTACACACAAATTATCACGAAAATGTGTAGTAATTATGGTTCCTACTTATAAGCACCATCTCTGGGTACCCCCATACCTCACCCACCCATCACTCAGCTGACCAAGGTGGCTTCCTACACCCCGGTTTCACACTACCACAATATTACATAATCTTCTATGTATTATAGGCCAAGAATATTTCACAATTATAATTGATTAGTTTGTACCAGGGCCGGTTCTAGGAATTTTTCAGAGTTAAGCGAACACCCGAATCAGCGCCACTTAGAATTCCCCCCCCCCCCCCAAACCATGAACATAACAAATTTTTCCCCAATAATTTTGGGAAGAATTTTTCAATAAGTTTAGGTTTGAAGAATACTTGCAATAAAAGGCTGTTTATTATTCGCAGAAATTTAACATTTTTACAATTTTACTCATCATATAAACTTTAGCAAAACCAAGGCCACACAAAAAAAAACAGGCTTTAATGCTCATGAAGCATGACCACGATAGAAGACGGCAATGACGTAATGTTTGCCGTTTGTGATCAGCTGCTTGTGTTAATCTTTCCTTGGAAAATAAATAAATAAATACCTAAATCATTGCCGTCTTCTATCGTAACTTCTTTGGGCTGAATGGGGTCGCCACCAGATGATTTAAACAAAAATCTACTCATTGATTTGGCTTGTTTTTTATCTTCCTCTTCCAAATTCGCCTTAAGCTTTCTATAATAAGTGCCAGACGGTTTCTTTTTTTCTGCCATTGTTTGCTTAGTATCGGCTCGCAAGATGTTTTACTCATTCATTCAGTTTAAACGACTTATTTAATGCGCTAATTATAAATTAAACTTAAACCACTCGTAATCATATACTTATCAACAATCATGAATCATCAAAACAATGCCAATACGATACCGATACGGTATACGTATGGTACAACTAAAAGAGTGCAATACAACGTAATGCTCTGCTCTAGGATCAGAGCCAGAGGCAGAAGGGAGGGAAGGGAAGTTTCATGTTGTGTCAAGTGGCGGTGGGGCACACGGGAGGGACGATGGCTTAACATAGTGTCAGCCAGCGTTCGCCGCTAGAACCGCTAAGTCGAAAAATTTAAATTAATTTTATAATTTTTAGTAATAAAATTAACTTTTTAATTAGGGTGAAGTGGGGTAAGTGTACGCACGAAAATCACTAGTTGCACTTTAACTTGCTATAACTTCAATTGTATTTAAGATATCTTAATGAAATTTGGTGAGCAGAAAGCTTGGAATGTGGTCTATAAGTATGATTTTTTTCAAATCTTAAATCATCATACTTTTTTTTATATACTTTTTTTTGTAAAGTGATGTCCCGTGCGTACACTTGCCCCTAAAATCGGGGTAAGTGTACGCCCCCCACCTATATTCCATATAACTTGCTTTAGATGCAATCTGGGGCAAGTGGATTATAGCTTAGAATCTGCTGATTAAAATGGTTTTTTATTTGTAAAAATATCTCAAACCGTTCAGGAGTTATGAACTTTTTCGTGGAACTCCGCGTACAATTTCCGCAAAATGGCAAATTTGTAAATTTACAATTATTAATATAAACTTGTTAATATATTTTTATTAATTAATCAAATGCTGTAAAAAACTTCTTTGACATCACACAAATAATGGAAGGTTAGTTATTATCTAAAAATATAATTTTTTATTGACTTAGATAAATCTTACCTTGTGGGGAAAGTGCATGGCAATTCACTGTTTTTCACTGTATTCACTGTAAGTGCGTACTAGTCTACATAACTAAAATAAAACTGTTAATTGACTTAGTACCTAGTTCACACACCCTTATAATTATATTTATTTACATATTTACAGGTTTTTTTTTACTGAACATGGACACTAAAGAGGGAAGCGTCGAAAATCAGCTCCCCCCGTCTGCCTGGTGTAGGTTCAGGCAAAACCTTCAGTATGTCGTCATTGGGAATGAATGAAAAATCTTCTTTTGGGTTTGAGTAAACAAAAGACAGTTCAGGTATAAGGTCCAAAGGTGAAATCAACCAGGAAAATAACTTAAGAAATAGGAAAACTTGTCTTAACCTGATAACTAATTGTAAGTTGTCACACCATTGAAAACCCCTATGTACACTTACCCCGGGGCTGGGAGTACACTTGCCCCAACCACTGTTACACCCAGGGCAAGTGTACGCCCCCCCCCCATTTTTGTAATTATAAATTTTAGTAATATAAAAATGACATTTTTGGATTCCTCTTCAAAAACTGCATCAGTGTACCAATTTTCAAATTTCTATGGCTATCCGTTGAGTTTAGGGAATTTTTCAAAATTTCAAGGCGGTACTTTCGTAGTAAGTAGAAATGCAGAGGTATTTTAAAACTTAGTTTTAACGTATAAATAGTCATAAATGTTGATTTCTAACTTCAGAATCTGAAAGATCACATTTCAAACCATAAAAAATTATAAATTTAAAATTTTTTTCCCCAATTATGGCTTATTTATAGCCAGCGCGTCCACTTGCCCCGTGCGTACACTTACCCCACTTCACCCTATAAAATTAAACTGTCATAACCTAACCTAACCAACCAAACTTGCTGATAATATAAAAAAGATATAAGATAAAAATCAAATAAAGTAAAATCTTTGACAAAAAGTCAGTCTCCCGACAGGTCTTGAAACTCGAGACCTCCTGATCACTAGTCCGATGCGCTATCAATTATGCCATGAACGCCACTGGAATCACATTGTCCCGTTACGGTAATCATGTCGCCTCAAGAGAAGACATTATAGCCACTAGAGATAT